GATGTAGGCTGTGTTTGGCGCTGGCGACTAGAATGTTTGCGGAAGTGCTACATTGTTTCCACGAGGTAAGCAGGTCTAGCCAGAGATTTTTAAGCAAAGGATATCTGGTCTAGTAGGGGAATTTTATTTGGGTGAATAAAATTGTTAATTATGTCTATCGATGTTGGCTAGACACCTGGTTGTTGTTTGAACACGTTGTGAGATGTTAAATTGAGGTAGCGGAAAGAAGTATGCATCTAGATAGTTAAGGCATTTGGCTCTGTAGACTAGCAAAGGTTACTTTCCGTTGCATTGGGGTTATTTCTGCTAGGTTAACTTTTTAGCTAGATCAGACTGAATGGATGACCAGGGGAAATCAGCCAGATGGAGAATGTCTCACCCCGTGTTTTCTTCAAGTAGTGTAACCAGTGGTTAGCCTTCAGAATAGCCATGACGTCTATCACTATCGGGATGGTCTCCCTGGTAGCCTTCAGGCTTGGCACACTGTCAGTGATGCCCAGTGTCTACAAGAAGCTGTCGACATGTAAGCAGAGATTGTATAACTGCCTTAATTTTGCTGAACTCCAGGAAGAGTAGTTGCTGCCTTGGCAGCTGCTAATGGGGATCCATAATAAATACAACACAAACAGATCTGGGACCACCAGGCTATTGAAGGGTGCCTATCCTAATGTGGGATACATGTTACTGTAGCAGAATGACATGTTGATGTACTGGTCAAAAGCAACAATGGAAGCCTACATGGTACACTAGCCACTTTCACCCTGTCAGTGATACATCTACACTGTATCTAAGATCATATTATAGATTTATCAAGTCTCACCTTCCCTGTGTAGTGAAGAGAGGAGGAGACAGAGGACGGTGAAGTACCATGTAGTCAGGACGACAGCTGACTGAGTCTGGAGCTCCAGAGAGGCTGAGTTGGGACGCCATGGAGCAGATCAGGTGAGGAAGGGTGCAATGTTACAAAATATTCGGAAAGAAATATAATGTGTATGGCATATTTGATTGTCTGTCAGGTAGACAAGGGAGTCATGCCAGCTTTATTTATTACATTTCTATCTATCTGCAACTTTGTGAACATTTTGCCTCAATGACTGACCACACCCCAGGTATCTGAAGCAGGAGCTACCAGAGGAATTGACCATCTGGCCGAGGGCTTCTCCGTCCTCGTGACGTCATCCTCAGAGTCCTCCAGAGGAAGTTCACCCCCACCCCAGAGAGGAAAGCTAAAGAGGACTCCAGCGTGTGGGCCAGGCTGAGACAGCAGGGCCCTATCTGGAGGTGGGACAGGGCAGGCAGCAGCTGGCCCTACCTGGGGGTAGAGGTGGGACAGGGCAGGCAGCAGCTGGCCCTACCTGGGGGTAGAGGTGGGAAAGGGTAGGCAGGAGCTGGCCCTACCTGGGGGTAGAGGTGGGAAAGGGTAGGCAGTAGCTGGCCCTACCTGGGGGTAGATGTGGGACAGGGTAGGCAGTAGCTGCCTGGCTCTGGACAGAGCAGCATTAGCACAGCAGCCATGCCACCCAAAGGAAGTGGCACTGGTGCCTTGGTCCCCCTGACCAGCCAGTCTGATACCCAGGGATTTGGAGGATGGCCCTAGACCCATGACGATTGGAAACAGCCTTGCTCCTCTGGCCTCACTACCCACCCAGCTCTCAACCTTACCCACCCTGCACAGCAGACGCACCTCAGGACAAGATAACTCTAGAGAGGAAGATACAGAGGACAATGTGTTGGAGGAGGAAGAGGAGAAAGATGAGCGGATGGAGGAGAGATGGGATGGAAGGGTGTTTTCAGAGGAAGAACTGGAGGAACTAATGCGGTCTACAAAGCCCTCGCCTGTGGTACAGAATGGAAAATAGTTATTTTCTTCTGAGGGAAACTTCCTGTACAGAATCTGAAGTTGAGATGATGTTTATATTTGGATGATTTCTCTATAATGCAGTAATATGCAACCTCTATTTAAAGATGCCAGAGACTGATCATGCCACAAACCAATGACGCACTATTTACCATTTCTGTTAAGTTTTGATTTTACGTTCTTGTATCATCAAGTTGTTTTTCTGAATGTTAACATCAGAATAAAATCTACTCTTATGTAATATAGGACCAGAAAACTTTTAGCAAAGGGACAAGTTAATTTATTAGTCAATAACCCAAAGCAAGATCATCTCAAATATACTGAAGAACTACACAGCAGATACAAAGACATAACGATTGTATATTTACAGAGCCGTCATCACATTGAATTATTACTTTATACAGCCATTTTAAAATGTAAGAAAAGTGTCTCACCTTTCAAATCTCAATACATAAAACCTTCATGATTAAATAGGAATTAATTCAGAACAAGTGTCTTCCCAGTGTTTTAGCAGCTGCAGTATGTGTTGTCTTGGCTCTAATGCCAATCGAGATTTTGCAAATTCTTTCAATCCTGTGTGGGTATAGTAATGTACAAACCAAATACCAAATATAGGTTTGATGAAACAAATTGCATTTGTCTGTTTCACAATGGACAAATAAAGCTGTATTGCATGATCAGGGAGTAAAATAAAATTGGGTTATGTATGTTTCCATTGCTTTAAGGGTAGGAGAGAAGTCTGAGGGCAATTCTACAAAATAACAGGGTAGTTGGTATTGCAAGTCACCATGTAATGAAAAGGAGACTGAATATATGTGTATTATTGGTTTGAATTCAAGGAATCCTTATTAACATTGGCTAACTAGAGTAAGCGCAATCTAGGGGTGTCATTGACAATGTGGTAAAAACTGTGGATACACCAACAGCTCTGATACCTAGAAACTATTCTAAATATTACAGACCCTACCCTCATATTACAGACCTACCCACATATTACAGACCCTACCCTCATATTACAGACCTACCCTCATATTACAGACCCTACCCCCATATTACAGACCCTACCCCCATATTACAGACCCTACACCCATATTACAGACCCTACACCCATATTACAGACCCTACCCTCATACTGGACAGACCCTACCCCCATATTACAGACCTACCCTCATATTACAGACCCTACCCTCATATTACAGACCCTACACCCATATTACAGACCCTACCCTCATATTACAGACCCTACCCTCATACTGGACAGACCCTACACCCTTATTACAGACCCTACCCTCATATGACAGACCTACCCACATATTACAGACCCTACACCCATACTAGACACTTGTATAACCATGATCAATCCACACAATAAGTTACATTACTGCACTCAGAATCAAATGATTACAAATAAATAGAAGCCCACCATGTAAAGGGATGTATTAGACAGAAGAAGAGAGGGGAAAGGATTGTGCAACAAATGTTTTAAACAGCAAAAACTAGTGAGAGAGAGAGAGAGAGAGATCATGTGACTCCTCGGTATTTAAAGTAGCCTAGTTCAAATGGGAAGCTATCAGCGTCTTGTTTCAATATTCAAGACATGAAAAGCCTACAAGAACTGTTAATTTAGCTTCTACTGTACATGTATTATTCTAAAAACAATTGCATCCAACTATAGTATTAGGAAAATATATATAAACCGCCCGTCAGGTGTTTATCCCCAGTTAGCGTGACCCTAGTCTCCCAAGGCCATCCTTCCAAATGGGCTTCCGAGGCTAGGATGACCCTGTCTCTGTGAAACTAAGTCAATGACCCTTTCAGGTAATGTGGTGACCACAATGAATATGTGATTCAGTAGTATTAACTCATCATATTCAGATAGGATCTACAGTACACTGAAAACAGGCACGCCAGTGCTAAACTGCTGGACATCCATACAACATTGTTAGCTTATAAAACAATTTCTTCTAACAAAACGGCTTCATCAAAAGATGTCCAGATCTATCCATGTACTACATTTCTAAAATGTGCTTTTTAGTTCCTGTGTTTACGTTGTTGTGTGCAGTTTATTCCAATGATTGATTCCTATTGGCCTTCCTTCACATTTTGGGTCTACTTTCACTAGTGTAGGATTAGCTCAATATATTAAAACATAAACATCATTTATATTGAGAAATGAGGAGGCGTGAGGCCAATCGCTATTTGTACACTACACTTCCCTCTTCTGACTCAAAACTAAACAGATGTTTTTTACTGCTTTAGGCAGTCACAACTGCATACAATGTTTAGATATACTTCTTCTATTGTTCCAATACGGCCAAATCATAACTTGAGATACAAGAAACTCATTTTTCACCCCATTGACATCAATGCATGATTTAGGAGGTGAATGTTTGAGTTGGGTACCATATTTCTCATTTTAGGATTCGTCCCTTTTAGTTTAGAGGAGGAGGTTGGTTCCAGCTATGAAAGCTTAGCGTGTTGATGCGGTGTATCTAAACATGTTATTGCTATCCAACTTTAAAATGCTTATAAATATTTTCACTTGCGTCTTATCATTTAGGCAAAATATTTAAATCTAGTTTAGAATAGAGTGGCTTGGTAGAATAATTTTGCCAAGCCACAGTAACTAATTGCAACCTACTTACCAGGTCCCCGACCCCGAATCACATGAACGAAAAAGGAAAGATCTTTATGTAAGTGCAGGGGAGGGTGAAAGAGGACATGTCTTCAATAGAAGTGTACACGTCATATTCCCCAAATCCCCAGTCCCAAGCAACGGGAGTGGCATGTGTAACCCTTAATGTCATGGTGCTGTTTACATTCACTTGGTTGAAGAGTCTAGCTACAGTAGATGTTGTTAAGAGAAGCTCCTGATGACCATAAAACAGCTTCTACACAGCAGTTCCATTATTCCAGATTCACCAGTAGTCCAGAACCACCACATCATTCCATCGCTCCATTGTTCCCAACAGAAAAGGAACTTGCAGAATACATTCTAAATCAACCACAACAAGCCTACTTGACCTCTGCTCCCCTGCTGAACTCTGGCTGTGTCTCACTCAGATCACAAAGCCTCATTGAACACCTCACTGATTACAGCTGCATTAGAAGGACTCTCCGCCAGGTGCTGGAAGGGCAGGGGTTAGAGGTCAAGGGTCATGGTGGAGGGGGGAAGGAGGAAGTAGCAGGAGGCGAAGGAGAGAGAGCAGCAGCGAGCCTCTGGGTGTACAGATAGGATCAACTTGTTCTTCAATGTAGAGCAGTGAGCCTCCGGACAGACAGGAGACTAGATTCCCCTTGTAGATGCAGGAGTCTCTGGGTTGTAAAGGAGAGACAGGAGACTAGATTCCCCTTGTAGCTGCAGGAGGCTCTGGGTTGTAAAGGAGAGACAGGAGACTAGATTCCCCTTGTAGATGCAGGAGGCTCTGGGTTGTAAAGGACAGACAGGAGACTAGATTCCCCTTGTAGATGCAGGAGGCTCTGGGTTGTAAAGGAGAGACAGGAGACTAGATTCCCCTTGTAGATGCAGGAGGCTCTGGGTTGTAAAGGACAGACAGGAAACTAGATTCCCCTTGTAGATGCAGGAGGCTAGTAGTTCCTCCTGGGAGCTGCAGGATCCTCCTGTTACTCCAGAAGATCCTACAGAAGCACAGAGAACAAAAACATTCCTATGAAAGTGGACTTTTAACAGAAAGGACTAGAGAAAACCCTGAGGCAACGGAGAGACAGCCATTCCTTTAACTAAGAACTGACCTACATTTTAATCGGTTTAACAAGTGCTAAGGCCACACAAATAACAACATAAAAAGGATATGTAAAGTGTGTGTGTGTTTCTATGGTAACATTACCTGGTCTGAATCGTTGTGGAAGTCGGTCTTGTTGCCAGCCTGAGTGTGGTTGCTGTCTAGTGGCTCGTCTACTCCGTCTCCCAGGGCCTCAGCATGTTGCTGTAGGACAGAGTAGCTGTGCACCAGGAACCTGGGGGAGCCAATCGAAACACACAGACACACTGAGCCACTTAAACCCTTTTAACACTATCGTTGTGCCAGAAACTATGGTGCCTGAGTAACCGGCTCAGCATAGCTTGGTTTGGCTCGGATCAGCATAGCTTGGTTTGGCCCGGCTCAGTATAGCTTGGTTTGGCCCGGCTCAGCATAGCTTGGTTTGGCTCGGATCAGCATAGCTTGGTTTGGCTCTACTCAGTATAGCTTGGTTTGGCTCGACTCAGTATAGCTTGGTTTGGCTCGACTCAGTATAGCTTGGTTTGGCTCGACTCAGTATAGCTTGGTTTGGCTCGGATCAGCATAGCTTGGTTTGGCTCGACTCAGTATAGCTTGGTTTGGCTCAGCTCGGATCATTAGAAGCTCTCTACAGCTCTCTCCTAAAGTACCGATCAGCCTCTTCACTCTCTGCAGTTCTTTGTGGATGTATACATGGCTACAACTGGACACAGTACATTCCCTGGAAGAGTTTGCTGTCCTGATCTAAAAGAACATAAGGAATCGTAAAAACAGCTGTACTGACCTTCCACCGCAGACGTACTTCTTGACGAAGAGGACCCCAGCTACGATACTGAGTATCAAAATGATTAGAACCGTCACTACGATGGGTGCAGAGCTGGACAGATGGCCATCCGTCTGTAGGAGGGGGGAGATACGGAGAGAGAGAGTAAGACTACAGTAGCGTTACTACTGACAGCGGTACAGCATCACCTCCATAGTCATGTTGCAGTGGTCAGTCATTGTATAACAGGACCAATGGTAGTCTGGGGAGTTTTGACTCCACCCCCATCAGGCTAAACTGGTTGAAACAACGTCATTATGACCAAATTCAACTGGATGTAATGACTTCATTTTAACCAGCTTTCTGCTGGGGGTGGAGTCAAAACTCATCAGACTACCACTGGATTATGGCCCTCGTAGACCAGTACCAATGAGATCCACGAACATAAATAGTTCTACTAACCAGTAGTTCCTGACGTCCCAGCAGGTCACTGACACACCTCTTACTGAGGTCGATCTCTTTCCTCTCCGGCTGTGTTCCTCCCTCACACTTATCCCCAGGGATCTTCCTATAGCTGTGGACCAGGAAGGCATGGTTAGTGGTCAGTCATGGTCACACAAGAGAGTATCTTAATGGAGGTGGTTCGGTGATCCACACTTGTGTGATGAGTAGCTTTGTCTGAGACTTGAAGACCTGTGTTAGCTCCCCAAGCTAATGCCTAGGCTTTCGCTCAGTGGGCTAACACGGTCTCGTGAATGCCCAGGTTGGAACAAAGCCTTACCCTGTGGTCTGCAGCAGCTCCTTCTTGCCCTGCAGACAGAACTCCAGAATGTGGCCCTTCAGGTCCGGCTGCTCCACACACGCAGAGCTGTTCTCTTTACGGTAGTACCCAAAGTCACTGCAGGGGGGCAGCGTGGAGCAGGTTAGACAGACAGACAGACAGGGAGGGACAGACAGATAGAGACAGACAGACATGGACAGACAGACAGACAGGGACAGACAGGGACAGACAGACAGGGACAGACAGACAAACAGAGACAGACAGACAGGGACAGACAGAGAAAAACAGACAGAGACAGGAGCAGACAGGACCAGACAGAACAGACAGACAGACAGACAGACAGACAGACAGACAGAAGACAGACAGAGACAGACAGACGGACAGACAGAGAGACAGGCAGACAGACAGACAGACAGACAGACAGACAGGGACAGACAGGAGAGGACAGCAGACAGACAGACAGGAAGGGAGGAACAGAGACAGAGGACAAGGAAGACAGACAACAGAGGAGACAGACAGAGACAGACAGGACAGACAGGGGAGAGACGAACAGAACAGAGGGACAGAGACAGACAGACAGGACAGGACGAGACAGGAGGGAACGAAGAGACAGACAGACAGGAAGGAAGACAGGAGGGAGGGACAAGACAAAACAGACAGAGGGGAAGACAGACAGACAGAAGGAGGAGGACAGAGACAGACAGACAGGACAGACAGGAGGGACAGGACGAGACAGACAGGAAGGAGGACAGACAGAGGGACAGGAGAGACAGACAGAAGGGGACAGAGACAGACAGACAGACAGAGAGACAGACAGGAGGGACAGAGGACAGACGACGACAGGAAGACAGGGAGGACAGAGACAGACAGAAGGACAGCACAGGAGGACAGAGACAGACAGACAGGAGAGGACAGAGACAGAGGACAGAGACAGAGACAGGAAGGAGGACAGAGACAGAAGACAGACAGACAGACAGGAGGGACAGACAGACAAGGGACAGAGCAGACGACAAAAGGACAGACAGACAGAAGAGACAGAGACAGACGACAGAGGAGACGAGGACAGAGAGACAGGAAGAGGAGGACAGAGACAGACAGAAAGGGAGGGACAGAGGGACAGACAGACAGACAAGGGACAGAGACAGACAGACATAGCAGTACAGTTAGTGACGTTCATCCTCCACATGTAACACAGTGCACAGACAACAGACAACCCCCAATATTGTAAATTGTTTGTATGTTTCTGATGTGCTGACCTGAACAAAATAAATGAAGGTAATCTAGTCTAATCTATTCTCCTTTACAATACACAACTGCAATATGCTTATGGATTTACAGTTTCCAAACAACAGTTTAAGTCATTGAACCACTGACCAGAGGAAGTCATCCAGAGTGCAGAGGCAGGGGCTGGGTTGCTTGTTGACCTCATAGTCCCGTCCGTTCCAGCAGACGGAGGCCTTCCTCAGACGCAGGAACTTCTCCTTATAACCCATCATACAGCCGTCGTTAGGGTCGCTGATGTCATCAGAGTGTGCCAGCCACTGCACGTAGTCCTGGTCCTCACCTGAGAAACAGACATGAGACTTTAGCTCAGCAGGCTACCACAGTTCTTTGAGGTGTAAGAGAACCGGGTTTGAACCCCAGTCGGTCCCATCTATATCACATCAGTTTCCTTTAGACTGGTTTCGTGGATGCGTAACAGGGTCAGTCCAGTGCAGCTCGGGTTGGCTAAGTAGTGTGAAGTGTTTTAATTGTATCTCCTGGTACTCACAGTCTCTAGTGAGCAGCTCTCTGAAGTCGATGGTGACTGATACCCAGTACTGACTGAGCAGAGAGTCTCTGTAGCCCCAGACACTGACGTTCATGGACCTCGCCCCCGGCTCCGACGCTAGCCCTGTGAAGTGGATGGGATCGCTAGTGAACTGGTGAAGGTGCCAGCACTGGCCCTCGTCTGTGGAAAACCTGACAGGAAAGAACACATATCCTACGTCAGCACAATTGCCATAAGGTGTTTTATCGTAACGTGGTTCCCTATAGAAGCCCTGTCAGATGTTTTAGTGGTTTCTTTCTTTAGGTTTTTTGAGGCCTCTGCATTCTAGCCTGGATACCAGTATGTCTTACAGCAGAATAGCCTGAGACTGGGATCCAGGCTACCTGCATCGCCTCGCCCTCTGAATACGTGTCTGAAATGACACCCTGGCCTATTCCCTATATAGTACACTACTTTTGACACACAGACGTACTTGATGTCTTTGATGGGCTGAGCAGAGTGCTCCACAGCCACCAGTAGTCCACCAGAGTCCAGGATGGCGTAGTGGTGAGGTCCCTTCAGGGCCTGGAGCCAGGTGTAGCCCCCGTCATCGGACACGAATACATCAGGCTTCATCACAGCGATGGCATCGCCCACACTCCCTGAGGGTTAAGGGTCAGAGTGGAGAGGTTAGAGGTCAGAGGTCAAATAAATAGACAGCAAGGTGTAGCCCCCGTCATCGGACACAAATACATCAGGCTTCATCACAGAGATGGCATCGCCCACACTCCCTGAGGGTTAAGGGTCAGAGTGGAGAGGTTAGGGGTCAGAGGTCAAGTAAAATAGACAGCCAGGTGTAGCCCGTCTATGCCCACGAGGCATTTATAAGTTATATTCTTCAAGAATCAATGGCTATACAGTATATCATTGGTTTAAGTAAAAAAAAAAATGGATGAACCAAACCCAGACTGACCCTTTAAATAACATTATATGGTAAACCTTCAGCACCATTTGACCTGGCAGGAAAAACTCCCAGCCTTATCCAAGACACATCCATAGCACACTACATGGCATATAGTGGTGTGATATAGATTACATTTTGCACGTCAACATTTTCATGTCAGATGTGGTCAATCAATGTAAAGACAAGGCCGTGTGTGTGTGTGTGTGTGTGTGTGTGTGTGTGTATGAATGTTTGCAGCACTCCAGCTTCAGCTTGTCTATGTAACGTCGCCTCTACACTTTCCAGACCAGAGGAGAACTCCGTCCATTCAGGTGTGTACCTTTTATCACTGACATTGTCTCTAATGTAAGAAACAATGCGGTAAAATGTTAGTTTTTGTAGAATTTAGATGATTCAGATGTGTTGAATAAGATGAAGTGAGTTAATTGAATAACATATCATTTTGTGCTGCTAATATTGATTGATTTCCTAAATTGACTGAGTAGAAATGGAATTGACCCCAATCTTGATTCCTTTGATTGATTAATGTTTTACCGTGCCATTGCAACAGGAACAATCCTAGTAACAACTCTTTATCATTGTAGAAGCATATTGAAGCCCGCTCACCAGTCCAGAAGGTGAAGACATGAACATCTCAGAGACAAACAGAACTTCAGTAGCTGACCTTTATGCACAATGCATTTTCATCAACACTGCTTCCTGCGCAATCAATCTCATCCTGAGGGTTCCCACCAATGGCTACGTCCTGTGGCTGATCGTGACTGGAGTGGGAGGGACGATGGCCTCAGAGTTCTTCTCTCTCAACCCGGCCGTGTCCGAGGTCCACTTCTACCTGTCTTCTGTCTTCTTCGTTGTCAGCATACACATCAAAACAACTACACAGTCTCACGTCTTGCAGCATTTGGTATGGGGTCTCTTGTTCACTGGTCGACCCCTGTTTCAGAGATGCATCTGTGTGGAGTGCAAAACCCCCAGACACACAGGGTGAGCTGTTGTGGTGGTGCCTGGCTGATAGTTCTGGGGGGTCCGGTTTGTTCGGTGTGCTTCTGATTGGACTGTCTACAACTCTGCTTATTTGGTTCTGTACCGCCTCCTGATGTCTGTGATGTTCTGCTTGGTTCTGTACCGCCTCCTGATGTCTGTGATGTTCTGCTTGGTTCTGTACCGCCTCCTGATGTCTGTGATGTTCTGCTTGGTTCTGTACCGCCTCCTGATGTCTGTGATGTTCTGCTTGGTTCTGTACCGCCTCCTGATGTCTGTGATGTTCTGCTTGGTTCTGTACCGCCTCCTGATGTCTGTGATGTTCTGCTTGGTTCTGTACCGCCTCCTGATGTCTGTGATGTTCTGCTTGGTTCTGTACCGCCTCCTGATGTCTGTGATGTTCTGCTTGGTTCTGTACCGCCTCCTGACGTCTGTGATGTTCTGCTTGGTTCTGAAACAGCCCGGGCCGGGGGAAGGGGAGAGGGAGGGGACAAACAACATGAAGATGAGGGCGTTCAAGATCATTTAGATTCCCCCGGTGAATATTTTGGTGAGTTTTAAGGATTTCTTTGTCCATTGTCCTCAATCATGTTGAAGCGCAGTACTTCTCACATTCCATTGGTTTGTCCATTAATGTGATCACTGGGTTTGTGCAGCCCCTCCTCTGCCTCCACAGGGCTGTATTAGCCCCTCCTCTGCCTCCACAGGGCTGTATCAGCCCCTCTGCCTCCACAGGGCTGTATTAGCCCCTCCTCTGCCTCCACAGGGCTGTATTAGCCCCTCCTCTGCCTCCACAGGGCTGTATCAGCCCCTCTGCCTCCACAGGGCTGTATTAGCCCCTCCTCTGCTTCCACAGGGCTGTATTAGCCCCTCCTCTGCTTCCACAGGGCTGTATCAGCCCCTCCTCTGCCTCCACAGGGCTGTATCAGCCCCTCCTCTGCCTCCACAGGGCTGTATTAGCCCCTCCTCTGCCTCCACAGGGCTGTATCAGCCCCTCTGCCTCCACAGGGCTGTATTAGCCCCTCCTCTGCTTCCACAGGGCTGTATCAGCCCCCCCTCTGCCTCCACAGGGCTGTATCAGCCCGTCCTCTGCCTCCACAGGGCTGTATCATCCCCCCCTCTGCCTCCACAGGGCTGTATCAGCCCGTCCTCTGCCTCCACAGGGCTGTATCAGCCCCTCCTCTGCTTCCACAGGGCTGTATCAGCCCCCCCTCTGCCTCCACAGGGCTGTATCAGCCCCTCCTCTGCCTCCACAGGGCTGTATCAGCCCCCCCTCTGCCTCCACAGGGCTGTATCAGCCCCTCCTCTGCCTCCACAGGGCTGTATCAGCCCCTCCTCTGCCTCCAAAGGGCTATATCAGCCCCCCCTCTGCCTCCACAGGGCTGTATCAGGGCTCTCTGAGGATGAGCCGACCCATGCATAAAAAATGTATGCAAGCATGACTAAGTCGCTTTGGATAATGCCATATCTGATTTCTGTCATGCAGCAACTTGTCAAAGTAGAAATAACTATACGTACCGGTATTTAATAAGACACTCACACTCTTATTTTCTTACTAGCACTGATTTAACTGATAACTGCTTTACCTGCAATGACTATGTGGTTCTTTATCTACCTTTTAGTTGAATTCACTGACTGTAAGTCGCTCTGGGTAAGAGCGTCTGCTGAATGACCAAAATACATTGGGTATTATCACAGGGATAGAATCGCCCACAATCCCTGGGGGTGGGAGTCAGAGGTCAGGGTTCAGAGGTCAGGAGATACATATGGGAGGTCAGGAGATACATATGGGAGGTCAGGAGATACATATGGGAGGTCAGGAGATACATATGGGAGGTCAGGAGATACATATGGGAGGTCAGGAGATACATATGGGAGGTCAGGAGATACATATGGGAGGTCAGGAGATACATATGGGAGGTCAGGAGATACATATGGGAGGTCAGGAGATACATATGGGAGAGGGCCACAGATTAGTGGCAGAGTTGAGGCTGGAACCCCGAGTGTTAGCGCTCGATCAGACTCCAGCACAATGGCCTGGCCTTTTTGCTTAGTCAAATTGACACAGTCATGAACAGGTTAATGAGGAGAAGGAGATGTAGGAGAATGAGATGTGTGTGTGTGTGTGTGTGTGTGTGTGTGTGTGTGTGTGTGTGTGCTTGCATGCCTGCGTGTGTGATTTACCGTGAGCCATGATGAGTCCTACAGCGTTTGGTTCACTGAGAGGCAGCATGGGGACGTTCAGCTTCATAGCCGTGCTGTAAGCTGCGTGGATGTGGAGACTGCACTTGTCGGGGTCTTTAGCTGTGGAGTCACACTTGGTGTTGTCAGGCTTCTGCAGGGGCACCCATTCCCCTCCCTGGTCGAAGGATACCACGGACTGCACCGAGCCGTCTGGACAACAACAAAAAGAGACATTTACACTCCTCTACGTATTTATTTGGACAGTGAAGCTATTTTTTTTTAAATGTTTTATTTGTCTCTATACTCCAGCATTTTGGATTTTAGATAAAATATTTCATATGTGGCGACAGTACAGAAAGGAAAGCACTTTATGTATCTAGTCCCCCCATTTCAATAAGTATTTGGACAAATTCACTTAAAGTATAGTGTATTAATTGCTTTATCTTGGCCAGGTCGCAGTTGTAAATGAGAACTTCTTCTCAACTGGCTTACCTGGTTAAATAAAGGTAGGAAAAAAAAGTAGGAACAAAGCTCATACCCTCCCAAGAAATGCTATACTCCCCTGTTATTGGTAATAGTGAGAAGTTAGCATGTCTTGGGGGTATGATCTTTGTACCCCTGTAACTTTCTCACTCATCATTATTCCCAATGATTATCCGTAATCATGGTAGCATCCACTTTAATGTAGAAGTGTTCAGAAACATATTTTATTCTAATTTACAATAGAAGTGACTCCAAAATGACACAATACATTATTTACCATTAATTTCTATTGGGCACATATGTAGTCATTGCGTGCTAGGAAAATGGGACCAAATACTAAAGTGTTGACTACATTAATACACATATAAGTGAATATGTCCTAATACTTATGACATCTTCAAATGGGGGGGGGGACTAGATACATAAAGTGCTTTCATTTCTAAACAGTAAAACAGATATGCATGAAAATACCCTCAAATAAAAGGTGCCATTCTGTACTGTCGCCTCATATGAAACAAATCCCAAATGCTGGCGTAAAGAGCCAAAACGATGTAGCTTCACGGTCCATATAAATATGTAGGGGAGTGTACATATAATCCACTGTATATGGCTCTACTGGTCATTCTGAACTGTTGTAGACCTGCAGCTGATCTCACACTGAACAGCTAATGAAAGTCATACATCCTGGGCCTCATGACTGTTATGGCATAATACACTGTAGTCTGCGGAAACAGGAGTCTTTGGAACTCCCTCAGAGCTGCTCTAACTGTTGGGGCATTTAAAGCAGGTGTGTGTGTGTGTGTGTGTGTGTGTGTGTGTGGTGTGTGTGTGGTGTGTGTGTGTGTGGTGTGTGTGTGTGTGGTGTGTGTGTGTGTGTGTGGTGTGTGTGTGTGGTGTGTGTGTGTGTGTGTGGTGTGGTGTGGTGTGGTGTGTGTGTGTGTGTGTGTGTGTGTGTGTGTGTGTGTGTGTGTGTGTGTGTGTGTGTGTGCGTGCGTGCGGTCCCTACCCTCTGCCAGTACACTAGTGATGAAGACTCCTCGTAGAGAGGTAACGTTGGTGAAGTCAGTGTCGCCCCCTGTGGTGGTGTAGAGGTGACGCTCCAGAGACTTAGAATACACTGTCCCCCTGTCATCTGAAACGTAGATGGTGCCAAAGCCTGTGTCTGGGGAGAGAACATTTGTCCTGTTAGGGTTCTCTCCAACATGGTTATTTAGTGAGACACCGTGTGGAAATAAGACAAGAAAGAAAGAACACAGTATTGGCTATTGACTGACCTCCTGGTTCGTCCACGTGCATGAACACCATGTCCTCATTGGCTGCCAGGATGGAATAGAACTCCTCGTGGCCAACCGGAGGCAGCTGAGCCATGTTCCACTCCTCCCCATGGTTAGTCGACACATGGATAATCCTCAGAGTGCCCTGGGGGAGGGAGGGAGAAAAACAGAGTGAGAGAGAGAGAAACAGAGAGAGAAAAACAGAGAGAAACAGAGAGAGAAAAACAGAGAGAGAGAGAGAAACAGAGAGAGAAAAACAGAGAGAGAAACAGAGAGAGAAAAACAGAGAGAGAGAAACACAGAGAGAGGGGGGGGGGGGGGCATTAGGCTTAGAGAACAAGCTCACATTCAAAGCAGGAACACAAATATTATGCAAACTAACCAACACACACAAGCAAACAAGTAGACCACACACACACAAAGTTCCTCATACTTACAGTTCCAGTCATAACAGAGGCGAACAGAAACTTTCCCCCCAGGCCGAAAGAGAAGATCTTAGTGGCAACGGTCTTTATGGTCTTCCCATAATCCGTTGTCCTCCTCAAGTCCAGCATCCCCCTGTCATCTGAGAAGGTGAGACAGATGTTCTCCTTATCTAGTCTTAAAGTTAGATATCAAGTTATTCATCTTGGAATCCAGAACCAAATTACACATGAACTATTTATGGTAATCTGTCACGAGAGACTATAGAGACTATAGAGACTATAGAGACTATAAAGACTATAGAGACTATAGAGACTATAAAGACTATAGAGACTATAAAGACTATAGAGACTATAGAGACTATAAAGACTATAGAGACTATAGAGACTATAGAGACTATAAAGACTATAAAGACTATAGAGACTATAAAGACTATAGAGACTATAGAGACTATAGAGACTATAGAGACTATAGAGACTATAGAGACTATAGAGACTAGAGACTATAAAGACTATAGAGACTATAAAGACTATAAAGACTATATAGACTATAGAGACTATAGAGACTATAGAGACTATAGAGACTATAAAGACTATAGAGACTATAAAGACTATAGAGACTATAGAGACTATAGAGACTATAAAGACTATAGAGACTATAAAGACTATATAGACTATAGAGACTATAGAGACTATAGAGACTATAGAGACTATAAAGACTATAGAGACTATAAAGACTATAGAGACTATAGAGACTATAAAGACTATAGAGACTATAAAGACTATAGAGACTATAAAGACTATAGAGACTATAGAGACTATGGAGACTATAAAGTAATTCTGGAGTTTATTAGCTATTTGAATGGGTGTCAGTGTCACTCACTGCAGGATCCATTGAGGTTGGAGGTGAAGAATATGTTCCTGTTCATCCCCCTGGAAACAGAGAAGAAGACTAGCTGTCACCACACATTACTAGCCTTTGTAAAACATGTTTAGTTGCTAGTACAGCACCAAGGTCACTGTTTTCAATGTATACTGGACTGATATACTTTGGGACACACTGGTGATGATAGAATTTGAGACAGGCTGTAGAGACAAACAATAGTTGTTCCCGCAGTCCTAAAAAGGACCTTGGTGACATGCTTTATCGTCTTGGTTACAGTTTATCACACGCTCCCTGCCACATTCATGCCCTTCTCAAATATGTACTTTGCTCCAAATGTTCTGTTGTGTTTGTCTTCAGAAACTCTTGTCATGCCCTAGTTAAGTTTGAACTATATTCCTGTACTCCTATCAAGGTTAGGTCTGTAGGGACTGGGAGGAGAGGCTGGGTGGTGTGATATCGCTGTGTGTGTGTGTGTGTGTGTGTGTGGGTGTCGCAGCATTAGAAAGCGAACCAGCGAGGGTAAACAAACGCTCACAGTAACTACTGACGCCCTTTCATCACAATGCAGGCAGATCCAGGAAATAACTCTACACAAAACTACAGCTTCTGTGGGCTTGGCTCAGAACACCTAGTCAAACACTAACTAACACAACTGCAATTCCTGTTTACTGCCTGCTTTTACAGTGTGTTTTACAGTGTGTTTTACAGTGTGTTTTACAGTGTGTTTTACAGTGTGTTTTACAGTGTGTTTTACAGTGTGTTTTATAGTGTGTTTTACAGTGTGTTTTACAGTGTGTATGGTGCCCTCTGCTATCAGTGGGGGCAGTATTGGATGTTTACAGTGTGTTTTACAGTGTGTTTTACTTTGTGTTACTGTGTTTTACAGTGAGTTTTACAGTGTGTTTTATAGTGTTTTACTGTGTTTTACAGTGTGTTACTGTGTGTATGGTGCCCTGATAGCAGTGGGGGCCGTATTGGATGTTTATTTAGTATGTTTATTCAACATACGTCTACAACTAATCAGCTAGCTGAGAGGTCTAGTCATAGAGATCCTATTAAATTACTAGAGGGACTAAACCCTCAAAGTACCATAACTGGGTGAAAATGGCAGCCATCTTGGTCAGGGAGAAATCCAAACCCAGTCTTAATTGGAATGAATGGCAGTAGAGGCAGAGGTGATGCATTTCCTGCTTTTACTTATGCAGGACATTAAAAAGTGTGATATATCAGAAAGTGCAATAGAATTATTGTCAACCTAAAATATTGTCATATAATTACAAATACAGTTTATATGGATTTTATACATCTGTATAAATAGCCTCTAAAATATATGTTAACAGACCATAAATGTCTCAGATTTGGTTTTCTTGGAAAGCTGTGAGTGCTATTATATGATACAATATCAGTACTTGTTGCATTTACAACTTGTAAAAAAAAAACACAGGATAGGTGCAGTGAAGTGTGTTGTTTTACAGGGTCAGCCATAATAGTACAGTGCCCCTGGAGCAAAACAAGGGCACACCGACAGATATTTCACCTTGTCGACCCGGGTATTCAAACTAGCGGGCCCAACTCTCTAACCACTAGGCTTATTGCTGGCCTAAGTCCTATCATCAACTGATTTCAGCCAGTGTGTGGCTGTGGATTGACTGCATTGTTAGAATGGAATGTTGGCGTATTGGCAGTTCATTTGAAACATTTATGGAATCATTCCTCTAAAACTGGCTGGCTAGCTAGCTAACACCTACAGTGCAGATACATTCTTCACAAACATTGTTTGAAACAATATCTTATAACAGCACTGGCAAACCATGGTTGACTAACTCCCTGACCAACATGTCTGACCTTTGGACCATCATAAGAAGGTTCATGTCCATTCTAGTATTCTAACTCTATGGGTTTATTCAACATACTACATCTAAAACTAATCGGCTAGCTGCCCGACGGAGAAGAGGTCAAGCAAATATAATTCCACCAAATTAACCACAGGGACTGAGCTGCAGTTAAAGAGGGAATGAACATCCAGTACAGTCTACATAACAACAGTGCTCATTATAGGAACTCAAACAGACCGTGAGCAATGGGATAACTGCCTGCTAATAGATCCTAACTCTTACCCTGTGGCAGCCATGTAAGGACGGGGTCTTCTGCTAACTCTATTCCTATATCTTGTATCATGTCTCTTACCATTTGACCAGACACACCATGTCATGGATCTTCCTCCAGTTCTCTCCAAAGTCCTCTGACAGCCAGAGCTCGTTCTGTAAAGGGTTTACAAGAGTATTAAAAATACATACATTGCCATATACACAACAAAAGATATGGCCCCAATAATGTTCTCTCTAGTTTTGTTTTGATTCCCACAGCTTTACTCCTCTCCACCTGACACATAAAAGCCCTCTACACTAGTACCTGTGTACGGGTTGAACATTTAAGATTTGGGCACTAATCAGCGCCTAAATTGGAACGTAGTGTCTGAACAGTAACATGCTATACATGACGTCAGAGCTCTGGCTCTGTGCTTCACAGTGCTGTATGGGTTTTGACCGACAGCCGTTCTGAACTTGAGCAACGCTCGCAACAAGAAGTTGGCCCCATCCCTTCCGGTAATTGGGAAACTTTTGCTAAATGTTTTGATGTCTGAATTGAGGAAATGCTGTAAATGAAGAGGACTCTATGTATTTTGAAAGATGAGACGTTGAGGATTATAATAAATACTGCTTTAATATCATACAAGCAAGCCGAACACCCGTGAGTCCAAATGTGCACTTCCCGTTTCCAAATCATAAAACTCATGTCACATACAGTGTCAACGTTTATGATCACTGTGTTTGATGTACAGTTACGAGATGACATGGCGTCGTACCCTGGGTTGTTCTGAACAGAATGAGCCTGTGTCTGATGTAGAGTTCCGAGATGACATGGCGTCGTACCCTGGGTTGTTCTGAACAGAATGAGCCTGTGTCTGATGTACAGTTACGAGATGACATGGCGTCGTACCCTGGGTTGTTCTGAACAGAATGAGCCTGTTTGTTTATTCACTGTGTCACACACCTGAATGAGCTCATGATTCCTTTCTATGCGCACCAAAATTATGATCTGTTTCTCTGAATTACCCTGTGAAAGCCTAACACTGTAATATCATATTTTGTAACTTAGCTAGTCATGTTTGCAATAGAACAAGCTTTCAAATCATGACCACCTGACCCAGATTGTGATTTATAAATGGTCCGTTTTTGGATTGCGTAAACAACGACAGTAATTGTGTGATGGCGGGAAGCAGGTATGTGTTCCAAACTAAACAACTACAAGTCTGCTTGCTGTAGTTCCTCAACATCACAGCTAGGAGAGCTAAAGAAAATCACCTTATAGTTGAAAACTCTTCTTTGAGTCATAAAAGTGCATTGAAATTGCTTACGAACTGTGCACACTTTGTAGAGGTGTGTGGCCAATTGGAGACACCAGTTAGTCCTCTCACTCAAACCTTTGTCATTTTTTTTGTCTTATGTTGCACCTACCCCACATTTTCCAGGAATATTCTTATCATGTTACTGAATGTATCCAGAGCATTTTCTGTTTTCGTTATCAACAAATGCGGGGTAAAAGTACAGTAAATGTAAAATGCACATAAAGTCAACAGTGTAATGTTTGGATTCAGTCTTGTGCCAGGTAAACTGTCCTTACATCTTACATTTTAGTCATTTAGCAGACGCTCTTATCCAGAGCGACTTACAGTTAGTGAGTGCATACATTTTCATACTGGCCCCCCGTGGGAATCGAACCCACAACCCTGGCGTTGCAAGCGCCATGCTCTACCAACTGAGCTACATGGGACCTCCTTAACTTTGGTCTAATCATTTTCCCATAATCTCCAAACTGTTCCTTTTCAATTGCTACCATGCTTATGCATTTTCATATTTCTTTTGTAAGAAACCTTTCAATTTAGCCCTATCCATATAGGTAAATTCCCACGAGTGTAAAGGGTTAACAGACCTACTAATGAGAGACCATAAAGTGATTTAGATAGAGAGGGTCTGAACAGCTCTTATCAACCCTGAGAGGTACATGTTGAGGCTGCCTAGACCACTGGTGTTGTAAAAGTATTGATAAGTTAAGTGTGCTGATGGGTCTGGGTGTTAGGAGAAGTAAGAATACTTTGTAGTACTCCTCACCCTCCATACGCGCGCACGCGCACGCACACGCCCCTTGACCCCCGACTCACAGTGTTGCTGATAACCAGGAGAACGTTGGCGTCTCTGGGGTTGTACATGATCTGCATCAGGGGGTTGAAGGGAAGGTCCTGCTGCTCAAAGCTCTTCCCAAAGTCTCTGGAGAGAAAGATACGAGAGCCCAGGCTGCCAGACACATCACCTGTCAGGATCACCTGGGAGGAGCAGGACAGGCAAACCAAATGATGATATGTCCCCTTGAACAGTGGTCTGCAACATCACGTCTTTTGATACATATGGAGACATAACATATTATAAGCCTTAATACAAGACAGTAAAGGTTCATACATGCTTATAAAACTAACAAAGTTATTCCTGCAGTCTTTCAGTAAAGTGTTGCCATTATTTTCAGAAACGTTTCTTCTAGAACATGCCATGAACACGTAAGATTGTTCACAGGTTTTAAAAACACGTCTTACCTTCCCAGAGTTCTCTGGTCCGATGGCGATGCCGAACTCTGTCCTGATGAAAGTGTTGTTGATGAGTTTTGTGACGTCCTGGAACGACTTCCCATAGTTCTCACTGAGAAAGCACACTTTTAATATTCAACCACTCGTCAGCTCAAATAATATCTGGCTTTATTTTACCACAGAAATTATTTGACACAACTGGTGATGAATCAGTCTACTCTTACCTTCGGTAGAGTTTGGACTGGCCGAATCTCAACATGAAGAATGGAACTTGGAATGTTGTCAAAGCCAGGATGACCTGTACAGAACAAGTCCAGTTTAAGGACTAGTCTAGAACACCTATAAGGACTAGTCTAGAACACCTATAAGGACTAGTCTAGAACACCTATAAGGACTAGTCTAGAACACCTATAAGGACTAGTCTAGAACACCTATAAGGACTAGTCTAGAACACCTATAAGGACTAGTATAGAACACCTATAAGGACTAGTTTAGAACACCTATAAGGACTAGTCTAGAACACCTATAAGGACTAGTCTAGAACACCTATAAGGACTAGTCTAGAACACCTATAAGGACTAGTCTAGAACACCTATAAGGACTAGTATAGAACACCTATAAGGACTAGTTTAGAACACCTATAGGGACTAGTCTAGAACACCTATAAGGACTAGTATAGAACACCTATAAGGACTAGTATAGAACACCTGTATTCCATCTATAAGTTTGAGACCCTGGTTTGACATACCGATCATTTAGTTATATCAGTACGTAATTGGGACAGAATGGAACATGGAATAGTAAAACTCACCCCAGTGGCGTCTCCGACCCAGGCCAGTGACACGGACCCACTCAGGTCATTGAAGGAGTACTGACAAGAAAAGAGAGCAAATAGGAATATTTGCAGTCATGTTGTTTATTGTTCACAGACTGAAATCCATCACAACATCATTTATAAAGGCAAGCATCACATTAGTCATGGAGTGTGAGTAATCCAGAAATCGTTTTAGTCAACTCTACCTCTCTGCTGTGTTCACCCAGCCGTTAACCTAATGCTGTACCATGCCTCTCCCTCTCCAAATCTCTAAGTATTACAAAACATTACATGTAGAAAGAGAAGTGTTCAAGAGTACACAATCAAATACCCCTAATCCTTGGCATGCCGACCAGTAGCATAGGCTTCAGACCAAACGCCCTCACAGTCGGAGGCTGCACTAGTACAACCAGTCCCAACTGTCAATCAACTGTCAAACCTTCTCGAAAAAGAAGAGACATACAGTTGAAGTCGGAAGTTTACATACACTTAGGTTGGAGTCATTAAAACTCATTTTTCAACCACTCCACAAATTTCTTGTTAACAAACTATAGTTTTGGCAAGTCGGTTAGGACATCTACGTTGTGCATGACACAAGTAATTTATCCAAAAATTGTTTACAGACAGATTATTTCACTTATAATTCACTGTATCACAATTCCAGTGGGTCAGAAGTTTACATACACTAAGTTGATTGTGCCTTTAAACAGCTTGGAAAATTCCAGAAAATGATGTCATGGCTTTAGAAACTTCTGATAGGCTAATTGACATCATTTGAGTCAATTGGAGGTGTACCTGTCAATGTATTTCAAGGCCTACCTTCAAACTCAGTGCCTCTTTGCTTGACATCATGGGAAAATGAAAAGAAATCAGCCAAGACCTCAGAAAAAAATGTGTAGACCTCCACAAGTCTGGTTCATCCTTGGGGCAATTTCCAAACGCCTGAAAGTACCACGTTCATCTGTACAAACAATAGTACGCAAGTATAAACACCATGGGACCACGCAGCCGTCATACCGCTCATGCAGGAGACGTGTTCTGTCTCCTAGAGATGAACGTACTTTGGTGCGAAAAGTGCAAATCAATCCCAGAACAACAGCAAAGGACCTTGTGAAGATGCTGGAGGAAACAGTACAAAAGTATCTATATCTACAGTAAAACAAGTCCTATATCAACATAACCTGAAAGGCCGCTCAGCAAGGAAGAAGCCACTGCTCCAAAACGGCCATTAATAAGCCAGACTATGGTTTGCAACTGTTGTCCTTAAGCCAAAATGGCTTAAGGACAACAAAGTCAAGGTATTGGAGTGGCCATCACAAAGCCCTGTCCTCAATCCTATAGAAAATGTGTGGACAGAACTGAAAAAGTGTGTGTGAGCAAGGAGGCCTACAAACCTGACTCAGTTACACCAGCTCTGTCAGGAGGAATGGGCCAAAATTCACCCATCTTATTGTGGGAAGCTTGTGGATGGCTACCCGAAACGTTTGACCCAAGTTAAACAATTTAAAGGCAATGCTACCAAATACTAATTGAGTGTGTGTAAACTTCTGACCCACTGGGAATGTGATGAAAGAAATAAAAGCTGAAAGAAATCATTCTCTCTAGTATTATTCTGACATTTCACATTCTTAAAATAAAGTGGTGATCCTAACTGACCTAAGACAGGGAATTTTTACTAGGATTAAATGTCAGGAATTGTGAAAAACTGAGTTTAAATGTATTTGGCTAAGGTGTATGTAAACTTCCGACTTCAACTGTATATTTTTGTTCACTATATATACAATCTATGGTTGGACCTATGGGGGAATTTAGAATGAGCCTCTAGGAATTATTTCTTCAGCCTTTAGGGTTCGTCCAAAATGGCACCCTATTCACTATAATGTGCACTGCTTTTGAGAAGGTAGTGCGCTATTAGTGCAAAGTAGTGCACTACATAGGGAAAAGGTTACCATCTGGGACACACATTTAGTCTCTAGATTACCCATAACCCTGCATCTGGGTTCAACGTCTGGCTGGGACAGAGAAACTATGGAAAAATAGAAGATCTGTGACAACAGGATACTGTACGTACAGCATTGATTTAATTGATTATGTTTTGGGAAGCCCATAATCAGTAAGTGGTCATTGTTTGGACAAATAGTCCAATTCATGGTTGGTTCAGAGACCCACGTGGGTAACTGGGGGGGGTCTTGATTGGGTAACTGATTAATAATACAATAAAATAAACTGCATATTAATGTGACTGGTCAATTGCGTGAGTCAGGGGCATTGACTGGTCAATTGTGTGAGTCAATAGAAATTGTATTTTCTCAGGAACTCCCAATTTGGAGCTAACAGCAGCACTGTTTTTCAAAGTATCCCATCTTGAGATGTAGGAGTACGAGGAGTACATCGGCCATCACCGTGAGTAGCCTATGGCTTCATCTTCATCATTAGGTGGGTCAGGGCTATGATTTCTAAGTCCGGCCCTGCCTACAAGTTGTTGCCAAGGACTGACTATAAAGCGGATTGTTTGCTGTCAGAGGTTAACTAGGGTACAGGAGGTGGTGTCCCTGCTCGTTTCTCTCAGTGCCTGGAGTTTCATCACATGCATCAAATATAGGCCGTGGCTGCAGATATAGGCCGTGGCTGCAGATATAGGCCTGGGTGCAGATAGCCGTGGCTGCATATAGGCCGTGGCTGCAGATATAGGCCGTGGCTGCAGATATAGGCCGTGGCTGCAGATATAGGCCGTGGCTGCAGATATAGGCCGTGGCTGCAGATATAGGCCGTGGCTGCAGATATAGGCGTGGCTGCAGATATAGGCCGTGGCTGCAGATGCTATTTTCGGATCTTTGGGTTCCCTCTGTTATGTCAGTTGGTCATGTACAGTAAGGATTATTATTCGAAGAGCACATTAGTATCATTCATTCTTTCTTTACAATGTTGTCCTAGAAAGAGCATGATAGGTTCATTATAAAGGGGGTCAGGGCCATGAAATGTTATTAGTAGTTTATGTAGCTAAAATATACAGTGTTCCACTTAAAAGATGAGGAGGCTTTTAATGAATTTATTTGCAAATTATGGTGGAAAATAAGTATTTGGTCAATAACAAAAGTTTCTCAATACTTTGTTATATACCCTTTGTTGGCAATGACACAGGTCAAACGTTTTCTGTATGTCTTCACAAGGTTTTCACACACTGTTGCTGGTATTTTGGCCCATTCCTCCATGCAGATCTCCTCTAGAGCAGTGATGTTTTGGGGCTGTCGCTGGGCAACACAGACTTTCAACTCCCTCCAAAGATTTTCTATGGGGTTGAGATCTGGAGACTGGCTAGGCCACTCCAGGACCTTGAAATGCTTCTTACGAAGCCACTCCTTTGTTGCCCGGGCGGTTGTGTTTGGGATCATTGTCATGCTGAAAGACCCAGCCACGTTTGATCTTCAATGCCCTTGCTGATGGAAGGAGGTTTTCACTCAAAATCTCACGATACATGGCCCCATTCATTCTTTCCTTTACACGGATCAGTCGTCCTGGTCCCTTTGAGAAAAACAGCCCCAAAGCATGATGTTTCCACCCCCATGCTTCACAGTAGGTATGGTGTTCTTTGGATGCAACTCAGCATTCTTTGTCCTCCAAACACGACGAGTTGAGTTTTTACCAAAAAGTTCTATTTTGGTTTCATCTGACCATATGACATTCTCCCAATCCTCTTCTGGATGCACTCTAGCAAACTTCAGACGGGACTGGACATGTACTGGCTTAAGCAGGGGGACACGTCTCGCACTGCAGGATTTGAGTCCCTGGCGGCGTAGTGTGTTACTGATGGTAGGCTTTGTTACTTTGGTCCCAGCTCTCTGCAGGTCATTCACTAGGTCCCCCCGTGTGGTTTTGGAATTTTTGCTCACCGTTCTTGTGATCATTTTGACCCCATGGGGTGAGATCTTGCGTGGAGCCCCAGATCGAGGGAGATTATCAGTGGTCTTGTATGTCTTCCATTTCCTAATAATTGCTCCCACAGTTGATTTCTTCAAACCAAGCTGCTTACCTATTGCAGATTCAGTTCCCACCTGGTGCAGGTCTACACTTGTTTCGGGTGACATCCTGCCTAGTGGAATTGAGTGTCATGTTGAGGTCATGATAACTGATAACACAGTGCCATACATAGGAGTGGAGGACAGGAACTTTAGGTCATCTGTGAGAGCCTGAAGCTAATATATCTATATAATAACGTGTATATTCATACTAATATTGTACATGGTACTAAAATGTTTATACTAAATGCAATTTGTTGCTACAAGGAAATGAAGGACAGGGGTAGTGAAAATCAAGAACTGGACCAAATTATATTATCAGGAACTACGAACTAACTCAACGAGGCGTCTGTGGGTATGCTGTTTGTTAGCTGAGTAGAACGCGGATGCATTGGGTTTGTTAGCTGAGTAGAACGCGGATGCATTGGGTAAGACGTTGCTAAACTGGTCTGTCTGTCCTGTGTTGACACAGCCAGACAGACGGACCAGACAGCTTCCAAAAGACATCTGGTGATCTGAAATTAAACAACGCTTTTAGTTAGAGCTGACTGCACAGTGTTTGAGGACAACATCATTAAGAAAGACAGTCAGTGGCAAGAACTTCATAACATATTCCCAATTTTCATCAGTTCTGCCTACAGTATAGGCCTAATGCATAGTCTAAATGTCAAGTCGAAAACATAGGAATATAGGTCTACTCCCAATTTGTATATGTTTTACATTTACGTCATTTAGCAGACACTCTTATCCAGAGTGCATAAATTTTCCATACTGGCCCCCCCCCGTGGGAAACGAACCCACAACCCTGGCGTTGCAAGCGCCATGCTCTACCAACTGAGCTACAGGGGACTACTGTTCAGTCTAAATGTCTAGAATGTGCTCTCAAATGCAGAAACAGTTTGCAATGTGTGTATCTTATAACCTAATTACTTAACAACCTAACACACACACACGTCCCCTACAACTAAACACTTCCTCTTTACGCACAGGCAATAGAAATTCTTGAAAAACCAGACTGCCCGTTCAACCACCCATAGGCCTCCGAACACACTGAGGCAGAACATGACAACAAAGTAGTTAGGGCAGGCCTAGTATGAACTACAGGTAGCATCGTTCCCATGAATCACCTAACTGCCGAACAAACACTAGGTTTCACCTATTTCCTTATTGAAAAAGAATGCTATTTGACCCTCTGTAGACACTGTGGCAGAACATGACAACAAAGTAGTTAGGCCAGGCCAGGCCAGGTATGAACTACAGGCAGTATCGTTCCCATGAGGAAATATAGGTCAAACTCATTACCATTAGAGAACAGGTGAGAGACACATACAGCGGAATCTGAAATGATTGACACCCTTGATAAAGATGGGGCAATAATGACTGTATAAAATAAACATTTCAAATGCTGAGCTATGTTGTACGCTCAAAACGATGTCTAAATTATATTATTTTATACTAATAAAAATCTTTCTCAGAGAAATATATTTTGTTTAACAAGCAATCATTTATTTTCTGAAAAAAGGTAGGGGTCAAAATTATTGAAACCCCTAAAGTTTAGTATTTGGTCCCGTATTCCTAGCACGCAATGACTACATCAAGTTTGTGACTCTACAAACTTGTCTAAAGACTTCTACATTGATGTTGATGCTACCATGATTACGGATAATCCTGAATGAATGGTAAATCATGATGAGTGAGAAGGTTACAGACATGCTAACCAACCCCTAATAAAAGTGACTCCAAAATGACACAATACATTATTACCATTCATTGCTATTGGGCACAAATGAATCTGAAACACAACCAAATACGAACTGCAAATGTATCCAACAAGTTTGTAGATTCACAAGCTTGATGTAGTCATTGAGCGCTAGAAATATGGGACAAAATACAAAATCTGACTACTTTATTTATAAGAATCTTTAGGGGTGTCAATAATTTTGATCCCTACCTTTCTGAGCGAAAAAAAAATATGACTTGTTAAACAAAACCTCTTCCCCTTCCTCTTTGTATTAGTATAAAATAATATAATTTCCAAAACAATTTGAGCATACAATAGCTCAGTATTTGAATTATTTATTTGATACAGTCATTATTGCTCATCTTCATTATTTGTATTTGATTGTACCTTTATTTAAACGGCAAGTCAATTAAGAACAAATTCTTATTTACAATGACGGCCTAAGGGTGTTCATCAAGGGTGTCAATAATTTCGTATGTGTATATACACTAGCCTGGCTAGATAATGGCCTCAATGCAGTTATGTCCTGGGAAGGATACACCATTTGAATTGCTCATTGTATACCTACACTGTATTACAACTGTATTACAGAGCAACTGTATGCTAAACTCACTAAAGATGAAACTTGATAAATGAATTACAGGTACCCTTAAACAATTAGCTACAGAGATGCTAAACTGAACATTAAACCCATTATGCTGCTCTGTATGGGCTTGAAGTAATCTTTAACTCCAGTAGCCTACTTGTGTCAGTATCAACTGGCTTGACTACAGTTGAATGAGCTGTGAAACATGAAAAATTGATCTCATGCAAGAAGCTGGCGAATAGATATTGTGGTTAGTTTCATGTTAACGGTACTGTTAAAACCCAAGTCATTTTCTTATTATGAGGATAATTGTCGAGGTAACGTGTCACCTGCAGAACATTAGCCTATTATACCGGTGAGAAGTCTAACCTAACCGGACCTGAAGGGTTAACTTACGGTGTGGGTGTTGTTAGTCAATTTGGTGTCGAATCCCTGGAGACTTTTACAGTCCCCTTCATCCGCGCTTCTCCTGCTCCTTATGTGGTCGGATGATTCAGAGTCAAACTGTTCTAATTCTAAATCTGCTGATCTCTTTTCGATATTCAAACTGGGATCTTTCACAAATTCATACTGTCCATTGTTATATTGTCCTTCTTTAAAATCATAAGCTGATGTCAAATGCTGGAATAGAAAAAGTAAAACACAGTACGTTAGAACTCCCATATCCACTGTGCGCCAAAAACCTTAACTACTTGTATTGTAGGCTATATTTTGTTATTGTAGTAATCCTGACTATAAATTGACGGTCGATCCGGTTCGGAACACGGCTGCCGATGACATCAACAAAAACAGTAGTCCTGACAGCGAGTGGTAGCCTACTGCGGCTTTGTTCGCTCTCCACGGGTCATACACTCCTTTTCTAAAAACAATTCAGGCGCATTAATTTGCCGAGATGCATTACGTCCAATTGTCCACTGTGCAACTGCTTGTCCAGAAATTACACAATGTAAAGATCCCTCAAATTATGTAAATGATTTTTGATATTGGGATAGGTCTTTGCAGACAGCCCACTGTGATTGGCTTTTACTGTGTTTGACACGGGAAATTAGTCTTCTGATTGGTTAAGACCCCAATAGCACATCCCACTGCACAAACGACTGCTTCTGGTAGCTGTCAAAGCCTTGTTAAGCTTGGTTGAGGGTAGGATAGCTATTCTACTATGGAATGATTTGTCCCTTCAGTGAGCTTGATCAATATTTGTTAATATGTATGATTCCGAATATGTACAATCATCAAATTAAAAATATACATGAATAGGAATACATGTTTATAAGCATGCAAAACATGAGAACAATAAGCATGAGAAAACTAGTTAATGTGATGGCATAGCCAGACTAGTTGTGACAGGCTCTTTAGACATCAGGTGATCATGTTGGATCAGTGGGTAGTAGTAATCATAAATCAATAAATGAATTAAAAAAGATGGTTAAGAAAAGGCCAATGAAAAAGGGAAAAAGTCAAAAGGACATGTTAACATCCCTGCCTTTGATGTTGCCAAACCAAACCAAGTGAAAGTGGTCACATGGCCTACATGAATTGCCAAGGTTCTCAACAGCAACACACAAAAAGTGTTGTGTCATATCCCCTTATCAAACTCTTAATTGGTCGGCATTTTTAAACAACAAACACACGTGCCTTCCACAGATCAAAAGAGCATTTTCCTTTAGAGCATGATGAGTGACAGGCTGAGAGAGGATGAACATCTGGACAAGCAAAGTGTTGTGATCCTGCAAGCTCCAGGCCAGAGATTATCAGATATACTCAGCTTGAATAAACCCTCAGTAAACAGCAAACAGGCCTGCCCTGTCTGTCCGTCTGTCCGTCTGTCCGTCTGTCCGTCTGTCCGGCCACTCGCCCGCCCGTCGGTCTGTCCGTCCGTACGTCTGTTACCTACAACATTCCATAGGCTAAATTGATGGAGGTGCTAACAGGGGTGGGTCATTCAGGTCAAAAGTTAAACCTTGCCTAATTGACCCTACTATACTCTCCTGTTTGTTCCTGAATTAACTCACATAAGAGCGTAATTTGTTCGCCGTACAAAACCTCAAATTAGATTTAATTCATTTTACGAGAAGGAGTGAGTCAGAAACAGATTTTATTCATGTGTTCATGTGATGGTAGAGCCCTAGTGCCACGGGGAACCCATGACTGGAGATCACGTGGTGTTGGAGAAAAATAAAGGACTGCCTGGAGGGAGTCTCTCGCCAGCCAGCCGGTTTTTAAAACTCAGTGACCACCACGACCACTGGACCTTCACCGACACCTAGTCTACTTCCCAGGCAGCAGAACGTTGAGCCTGATGGAAGACATTCTAGAGCCTTTCAGAGTTCCAGAATGCTGAGCCACATTCCACTCCTGGAATAGTTCCACAACAAGTCACTGAGAGGACGGGAGGAGGAAAGGAAGAGAGAGGACATTCACACTACCATTGTTGTGTGTTGGAGTTGTGCCGCAGAGCATCACGGGAGTTGTGTGTGTTGAGATGAGCACATTCATATAAATGGTTGAACTGAATTCCTGTCTCCCATCTCATCATTATTTAATTGTTATAAAAGCATGGTTATGAAACCCACGAGACATAACAACCAGGACAATGAAAACTCTTGCCAGCTGATGTTAGTGGACCTAGTATTCACCCAATCCCCACCCATCGTTTCAGTCTGAGTTTACACATTGTTTTGTACTGTTCATTTTGATACCATGTTGTCAAGCCCACAAACATGTGTGCAGTGAAAACAACAACAGTTCCGGAACTCAAAATGGTCAAGATAAACAACATTGGCCAGAATAACCTGTTTGGCTACCTGACTGACTTCCTGACCCGTTCTGTTAAACCTGATCCTAACCACAGTCTCTTTTGAGGAGTTAGATGACAGTGATGATAACCCTGCAACAGCCTGTGTGACCTGTTGTCAAAAACATTGCCACATTCGAACAGCGGTGTGGTGAATCACTTTCTTCTCCTTTCTCTTCATGCCAGCCAGAGAGGATCCACCCAATTCCCACCCATAGATTGAGTGTCATTTCCCACATTATTTTGGACTCTTGATACCATATTCAAGCCCACTATTTAACATCTGCTGAGTGACAATAGTTTCAGAACTAGAGAAAGAAGGACAGAAACATGGTAAACAAACAACATGAGCTTTACTGAAACAGTTTGAATATCTTTAGACCAGAATAACCTGTTTTGGCAACTGGAGTTTGAAGTTGGTGGACCAAAACCAAGAGTTATGTAGCACCTTTAAACTTGACCCAGATAGTCTCTTTAAGTAAGATGCCCTGATAACTGTGCAACAGCCTGTCTCTGTGTGACCTGTTGTGAAAACATTGGCCACATGAATCCAGTGTGGTGAGTTACTTGTCTTTCTGAAAAACAACCCCAACCATGGTGGTTACTGGGTACATATTCCTCACTCTCCCAGATTCACTGTGAATGAAAAGCAACCGGTCTGACGAGGCCATCCGACCAAAACTCACAGCAGAACAATTATCTGCAGCGTGGCATTCATGTGAGCCAGGATCTGCATCCCCAATGACACCCTATTACCTACAAAGTGCACTACTTTTGGTCAAAACGGTGCACTATGTAGAGAACAGGGTGCCATTTGGGACGTAACCCAGAACTGTACAATGCACAGGCAACCCCTCCCCCTACGGCCCCAGCATGGCCGCCCAGTCGACTGTCAAAAGGTGGAGAACAAAGGAAACTCTTATTCCTTCTTGGAGATGTGCTCTACGATATGGAGAAGACTGTGACTGGGCCCTTTCTAACAATAATGGCTGGTTGTTCCTGGTCTGGCCACTAGGTGAGCTAGGCTCCTGTGTTCAGGGAGAAACCAGTGAATTGAGTCATAGTTATCAGAAAAAGGAACCTGAAGTTTCTCAACTTGTTCAACGGAGGACATAGTGATCAATATTGTGAAGAACCTTTTATGTCATGCATCTGTCTTTAATATGTCACGAGTAAACAGATTAGCCTACCTACTTCATAACTGACTATTTAAACGGGGTCAAGAACTGGAAAGAGCACATGATGTGAATAGTCATGGGGCGGAAATGTAAGAGGTTAGTTATAACACACTCTCACTCTTCTGATATGAATGAGACAGGCCAATTTCATCAGATAAATTTGCCTTGCTGTATGTAGAAATGGAGCCCCCTTGTGACGAAGAGCTGCATGTCCCCTGACATTATTTAGTATCACCATTGTGGTTGGGGGCATTTTCAATTTATATTCAGTCGTTTCAGGCCAAATTTAAATCCCATGCAAAATCCTAAATTCTAGTAAAATTGAATGTCTTTATCTCCTAGATTGGCCGAATTGAAATCGTTATTATCAGTCAAATAGATGCCATACAATATAATGGCTGTTCACATCACAGCTGTTCATAACAGTCGTCCCCAGCTGCTCATAGTGGGATGATTGAATAGAACAGCCTAGTTTAGTTGGAGTAAAACACATTACACATCACAGAGAAAGTTGAATAAATAGAGAACGACGATAACCCATTGTGGTGTTGGGCAATATGCTAATCTTGGTTAACCCAGAACTAAAGTCTCACGTAATTTGTCAGCTGCACACGCAGAATCTTTCCACGAGAGATTAGCAATATGCTATAAACCTAGGCCTCTTACACAGAATACATTAGTCATTCAAATATGCTTTAACTTTGTTTTGATTAGACATAATACATAAGTTATTAAAATGTTTCCACACTCAATGAAGTTATAGGCCAATACTCTTAACAGAGAATGTTTTATATCCCACGTTTTACAATGATTGTTTACTGTAAGTGATAAAAAAAAGATACGTCGTGACAGTATTATCTTTAGCTATCTACTTATTGTGCTAATAAACATAGCGGCAAGCTACATAGAAATCAAAAAGGTGTTTTTAGGGAGTCCGTGGATGTTGAAATCAAGGCCGGTCCGGATCACACCAAAGAAATACCCCAAAAAAGACGTCCGGTGTAGGTCCCCTTAGTGGGAAGTAGCATCAACAAGTAAAAAACTGGAGGGGGGTCTGGGGGAACTCCCCCATATTATATATTTTTCTTTCCAAATGCTCATTCAGCCAACTTATTCAGTACTTTGAGTCACTTACAGGAACTGGTATGTGCTTAATGTGAAGCACCTGTTAATATTCACCCCCCCTACCCTCTTTAAAGGGAGAATCCAAATGTTTTTGCATGAATGCAAATAGCCATGTCTATAAAGTAATTGCCAGTGCTCGGTTTCCCCGATAGCGATGAAACTTAAGCTTACGAGTGTTTTAACAATGCATTGTTTCTATAATGGTTGAAGAACTCGCATGTGTTTCCCTAAACACCATGTAGGGAGAACTTTCAATAAGTATGTCGTTAGAGCATGTGTCGATCAGCGTTCTCCATTCAAATCTTACCTTAACATTAGATACTGACAACGGATCAAGGTCCTAGAGAGAAATGATCACCTATGGCTGCTAATATTGAGGCGGCTTCTTGTAATGCTTAGGCTATGCACTAAATCGAATATTTGGCACATTACATGTTAGTCATTTAGCAGATGCTCTTATCCAGAGCCACTTACAGGAGCAATTAGGGTTAAGTGCCTTGCTCAAGGGCATATCGACATATTTTTCACCTAGTCAGCTCAGGGATTCAAACCAGCAACCTTTCGGTTACTGGCCCAACTCTCTTAACCGCTAGGCTACCTGCCACCCATGAACTATTGCTTGCTCTAGTGGTTACCCTCAACAGCTCAGGGAACCTGGGCACCTGGAACAGGCTTGCGCACATCATTGCGCACATGTTGTTAAGCCTACACATCATGAAATTGAGGCAAAAATGAAAAACAGTAGCCTACAATTAGCAAATT